TGCATCCATGAACTTGTAGGTACAGTTTTGGGAATAGACAAGTTGTTTATTAATTTTGTAACATAGGTCTGAGAAAATGATGCAAAACCAAGAAAATGACAAGAGAGGCCAACTAGATTAACCTTTTTTTTTTTTTTAAAAAAAAAGGTTGAGGTGTTAGAGTAGGTAGAAGTAAGGAGTGAGGATTGAAACTATGGCTAGGTTTTGGCCAGACCTAGGAGTTTGTTTATTATTAGGGTTATGGTTAGGACTAGGGTTAGTGTTAGGGGAAAAGTTGGGTCTAGCTTTTAGGGTTAAACTTGTTGTTCAGTGCTGTTGAGTTGGTTTCAACTCATAGTGGCTTTATATAGGGTTTCCAGTGAGTGCTTGGTGGGTTTGAACCTCTAACTCTATAGTTAGCAGTCCAATGCTTATACCTACAGTGCCACACCAGGACTTCAGAATTACATTTAGTTTTATTTTTATGTAGCATAGTTTTTCCTTGAAATCTATTTGAGTTTCTCTTTACTCGGAAGTGTTTATAACTACTTTATTCTAGCTTTTTACTTTGTGGTTTTTTTGTTTTTTGTTTTTTGCTGTTGCAACTGTATCTTTGGTCCTCTATATTCAATCTTATAGGTCTGTTTTACTCTGCATATTTCTATTTCTGGGCTGAGCCTAGGTGTTAATGTCATGTAAGTCTCAGGTGGTTGTCTACTGTTGTTTGTTCTCTCTGTCCAACAAACTCCCTTTAGAATTTTTAGTAAAGGTTGGTCTGTTACAAATTCCTTTAATTTCTGTTTGTCTGAAATTTCATTATAATATTTGATGGACCATTTTCATGGACTTACGATTCTTACTTGGCAATTGTTTTCTTTCAGAGCATTATACATCTAATTACATTGTCGTCTTGCCTGCATGGTTTCCCTTGAGAAATCAGAGTTCTCTTTTGTATGTAACGCTTTGTTTTTCCTGAATTGCTCTCAGAATTCTTTCTTAATCATAAGTTTGATAATAATATGTCTTAGTGTTTTCCTTTTTGAGTCTAACCTGTGTGGAGTTTGTTCAATATCTCGTCTTTCATGATGTTTGGGACTTTTGTACTAACAGTCTTGGACAGTATTCTAAGTTTTTTTTTTTTTTTTTTGTCTCTCCTATTCTGAAATTCCTATCATATGTAAGTTATTCTTCTTGATATAGTGTCCCACATAAATCTTAGACATTTTTTGGATTTTTTTCTTTTCTGGTTGTTCCTCTAGCAGATGAATGTAAGAGATTTTTCTTCAAGCTCAATAATTTGGCTTTCCATTGATTCAATTCTGATTTTTTTTTTTTTGCCCTTTCAGTGTATTTCGTAGTTCTGAAGTTTTAGTACTGTTCTGTCTATATTTTCCTTGACTTTATCTGCAGTTTTGTTTGTTTCTCACAACCCATTAGTTTTCTAGTTAGCATTCTTTTGAATTCTTTGTCAGGTACCATTTCTGGTGTTATATTTTCTGACTCTGTATTTTGCTCACTTGTTTGCGTTACTATGTCTTGTTTCTTTGTGTACGTTGAAATTGTCTGTTTCCTCCAAGAGATTGTAGTGTCATTGGTACATCCTCAGGCACTCACCATCTATCTACTTGTGGATATCTTAGAGACTGCAAGTGTGAATGCAGTTAGTTTTCTGTTTATGTAGTGTAGTTCAAGATGTGTTCACACACCTCCAGAAAGAAGCAAGGGTGCTATGCCAGTTACCCAATTCCAGGCAGAACAGAGGCTGCTCAAAAGGGGATGCTACTGGCCACTGGGTTAACTAAAGATGGAATTGGCCATACCCCTGGTTACCAGGAGGACATGGGAACAAGAGAGAACTGTACCACCTTGCTGACAACTCCCTGTGCCCATAGGCCACACTATCAACAACTGCTTGCAAAATCACGAGATGGCTGTGCTGCGCCATACTAACCCATAGTCGGTCTGTTTTTCTCTCTCACTGCTCCTGTTCAATTTCTTCTTCCAGTCTTCCAGAATCAGTGTCTGTATCTGTTTCACTCAATCTCCCATGTCTTTGTTGCAGAGGGTGGGCTCAGAGTGTTTACTCTGCCATCTTGCCCCCACTCCTAGACTAATCTTTGGCCATTAAAAACAATGGAGATATACATATAGTCCATGTTATTTTGAAATTACTTAATGGAACTTTTTGGGTAGATCAAAGTTTGATTCATGGAAGCAAGACTAATGTCTGCATGTATATTTGTATGTATGCTTTCATTTGAAGTATAAATAATATGTTTTTAAATATTTAAAGAGTTTCACAATAGTGACAAATTATATGACTCATTGTCTTAAAATACCTTTTTGGTAACTTTAACATATTAAAATATTTTAATTGAAGTTTTTACTAAGATAAGCATAGATTCACAGAGAGAGATTCCTTGTACATTTTTCACCCAATGGTAATACTTTGTAAAATTTTGTGTAACATCACAAATATCCATTCATATTTACATTGATATAGCCACTTATTCAGATTTTTGATTTTCAAGTTGTACTTGTATTCATGTGTGTACATGCACATATACATGTACTCACTGAGTTCTCTATGGTTTTACTGCCTGTAAAGGTTTGTATACCACAACCACAATCAAGATCCTAAATACTTCCAACACCAGAAGTACCCCTTTTATAACCACATTTACCACCTTCCAACCTTTCTAATCTGTTCTCAACCCTTGAAAACCACTATTTTATCCTTTACTACTAAATTTTGTTGCTTAAAATTTTTATTGTAAATAGAATCATACCATTTACTACCTTTTAGAATTGGTTTTTTTCACAACATAATATTCTTAATGTTCATCCAAGTTGTGTACAACAGTAACTTGTTCTTTTAGGACTGAGTAGTATTCCATGGTATGTGTACCACTGGTTGTTTAACCATTCATTTTTTGAAGAATATAGATAGAATTGATTTAAGTTTTTGGCCATTACAAATAAAGTTGCAATGAACATTCATGTACAGGTTTTTGTATAAACATAGTTTTCAGTATATAGTAGTTGCATTATGAGTTTTTTCAGAAATTACCAAACTTTATAAGGATTAACACAAAGTTGGTTACTGTTAGATAGAGGTTAAAGGCTCCAAATGTCCAACTTTTCCAAATTTCGGAACCACTCCATTATCCTAAATGTTAACTACTACTATTTTTAGTACATTCCTTCCTATCTTTGGGTTTTATAATTCACTGCACAGTCTCACAGAACTCATCTAGATAATGGCTTATGCAGTTGTAGAGACTATAAAGTCCCAAATATGTATGGCAGGCATCAGACTGAAGGCTACTCCTGACTCATGTGGTTTTGGGGCTGATAAATCAACAGATCAAGTTCCAGGAACCAAAGGTCAGTAGTTGATGTTGAGCTGGATGCAGGATCCAGAGCAAGTGAGAGAACAGTTATATATATATATATATGCATATATATTACCTTCAAGGAAGCTCCCCTTAACTTGAGCAAGGCTGTGCAAGGGTGTGATGAATAAGGGTTAAGCATGGTGACTTGAGTCACACCTTCTAATAAGGTGTTGACAGAAGAGACATCTCACCCTAATCCTGCCTCATTAATATCACTTCTAAATGGGACCATAACCTCTGGCATAGAAGCTAGGATTTATAACACAACACAAAATGGAGGATAATTATATTAGATTTTAAAAATGAAGAACAATTATAATCATTACATAACTGCAAGACTACTGAAAATCATGGCCGAGCTAAGCTGACACATAATCTGAACCATCACAAATTCCATGAACCTTATTTGCATAGTCCCACCCAGTCACCTTGTAGGAATCACAATGACTATGGCTAAAAGAGCCAGATTAAGTAATTTACTGTTGTTGTTGTTGTTAAGTGCCATCTTGTCAGTTCCGACCCATAGTGACCCTGTATAGGGTTTCCGAGGAGTAGCTGGTGAGCTTGAACTGCCGACCTTGCAGTTCAAATGGCTTTGTAGTCTGATACATTAACCCACAGTGCCACACCAGGACTCCTCTGCACTGTTTTTCAGAGTGACGATAACATTCTGCAGTGTCACCGGCAGTGGTCTATTTTTCTGCATTCTCACCAGCATTTGTTGTTGTTACTGCTTTTTGCTTAAAACCTTTGAGTCGATTCTGAATTCATAGCACTATTTAAAAGTGAGTTGCATAGTCATTGATTGGCATGTTTTAACAAAGATCACAAATAATTTATCTTTTTTATATGAACTTAGTGTTTTAAAACTGCTTCCTATTTTTAACCTAGAGTGAGACTATTCTCTGCAGTTCAATAGGTTCCATTTGCTCTCCCTTTGCCAGAAGATGACCCTGGTGTAAATGTACATGTTTCTGCTCAACATTTTTTTTTCCCTTAGAGTCTCCGAATCTTTGCTGAAACAAGATAGGCATATAGATACTTCACATAGATTTCTTTTTTAAAATCTGAATCTTTAGCAGTTTTATTATTAGAGATTTTGGGCATGAGTTAAAGATAATAGTTAGCTATTTACTGTGTATATACAATGGAGCACTCTGTAGATACTTTTACATTTGCTTTTTATTGTTAAAAAGAACTCCAGTTGTATTTGGACTTCTTTGGAATATAGTGGCCACATGGAGTTGGACTGGCAACAGACATCTGGTACTTCCTAAATGTATGCAGAAAGTGGTGTCTGTCCCGCTTTATTTATTCCAGCTAGTGTGGGAACACTGTGGCCTGACATAAGAAAAGCATAACGCATGTGTAGTTAGGAGTGAAATCTTAATGTGTGTGTGGTATATGGTCTCAATGAATAAGATATGATATATGTGGTTTTCCAGACTTCCTTAGCTTTACATTTCTAAGAAAAAAGTATTTTTTATTGCTAAAGGAAAATGCCTATTTTGTAATTTCCGTAAATAAGTTATTCATCTTTACTGCTTTTCTGTTTCTTATGGATTTATCTATTAGATAGCTTTCAAATAATGTATTTGTTGTTTTTATTTTGTATATTAACAGGTGACAGTTAAAGGATTTGAACCTTTAATTCAATTCGTCTACACTGCTAAGCTTATTTTAAATAAGGACAATGTGGATGAAGTACGCAAGTGTGTGGAGTTTCTAGGTATACATAATATTGAGGAATCCTGCTTTCAGTTTTTCAAATTTAAGTGTTCGAACTCCACTGCAGACCAACCAGAATACCCAAGAAAAAAATGCTTTCCAGCACACTGTCAAAAAACTGACCTTAAATTTTCACTTTTGGATCAAAAAGATCAAGAAATTAATGAAGTGGAGGAATTTCTGGAAAATGAGAATGTTCAGATTCCTCAGTGTAAACTCAGCCAGTACCAAGGAAATGCAAAAGTATCACTTCCTTTACAAGACAGTGCCAGTCAAACGTGCGAGTCTGTGTGCTTAGAAAAGGATGGTACTCTTCCTCTGCCATCTTTATGTCCTAAATACAGAAAATTCCAAAAAGCGTTTGGAACTGACAGAATCCATACCATGGACTCCAATGTCAAAGACATTCAGGTTTCTTCTGTTCAGCCAAGTGAGACATCTGAAGATGAATGTCTAGGAGCAGTCCAGGAGTGTGCAGATTTACAAGTGGTTTTAAAATGTGAAGAAGGTAAAACACCAGCAGAACATGAAGAAATGAAGAAAGATCCTGCTTCTGAGTGTCCAGCAGTAAAAGCAGAAGTGACTCCTTTCCCTCACAGTTCTTCCACAGATCCTCCTGGGCTCTATTCTCTGTCTCTTTTACACACATATGACCAATATGGTGACTTGAATTTTTCTAGTATGCAGAACACAACAGTATTAACAGAAAAGCCTTTATCAGGTACAGAAGTCCCAGAAGAGAAAGCATTTGGTGGAAGTCAAGATGTACATTTGAAATCTGACTCTGGGCCCAGGGAAGATAGTAACCTTACCTCTAGCGATAGGAGTAGTGTGGAACGAGAGGTGGCAGAACACCTTGCTAAAGGCTTTTGGAGTGACATTTGTAGCACAGACTCTGCTTGCCAAATGCAATTATCACCTGCTGTGGCTAAAGATGTTCCTGAACAGATCTATTCACAGAAACGATTTGAGTGTCCCTGGTTGGGTATCAGGATCAGTGATAGCCCAGAACCAGGTCAGAGGACTTTTACAACATTAAGGTCTGTCAATTGCCCTTTTATAAGTACTTTAAGTACTGAAGGATGTTCAAGCAATTTGGAAATTGGAAGTGATGATTATGTTCCGGAACCGCAACAGGAACCTTGTCCATATGCCTGTGTGATTAGTTTGGGAGATGACTCTGAGACGGATACAGAAGGAGACAGTGAATCCCTTTCAGCCAGAGAACAGGAGTGTGAGGTGAGGGGAAAATGAGTGTGTTGGTAGTTTATTCTTTTAACCACAACCAACTAGAAATTTCTCTGTGTTGTCTCCTGTTTGTACCACTAGAGGTGTGAATGGGCTCAGGGAAAGAGAAGGAAATTCATAAACCAAAAACCAACCCAAACCCACTATCCAACTCTTAGCAACTGTATAGGACAGAGTAGAACTACTCCATAGGCTTTCAGAGGCTGTAAATCTTTAAGGAAATAGATTGTCTCATCTTTTTCCAGAGGGACTAATGGTTTCAAACTACCAACTGTCCAAAGCGCAGCCAGGTGCTTAATTCACTGACTCCTTAACTTATACAGTTAACTATAATGCCATGTGATAATCAATCAACATAGTAAGAAGTTGAAGGACTTCTTGTTCTTTTTTAAAATTATTATTAATAGAAGACATAAAATCCTTTATTTTTGTGGATCCTAAGGTACATTGGAGATACCATCAGAAGGGACCAGTCCTTAAAGACATCATACTTAAAGTTGAGGGACAGCAAAAGCAAGGAAGACCCTTAACAAGATGGATTGAGACAGTGGCTGCAACAGTGGGTTCAAACATAGCAATGACTGTGGGATGGCACAGGATCAGGCAAAACACAACAGTTGTGAGGATGGCACAGGACTGGGCAGCGTTTAGTTCTGTTGTACATAGGATCACCATGCGTCAGAGCCATAATGACCTAACAACATTAACTGTGTGAACAACGAAGTAATTCAGTCCTGTACCGTCCTCACCATCATTGCTGTATTGATCCTTTGTTGCAGTGACTGTGTCAGTCCATCTTGTTGAGGGTCTTCTTTTTCACTTGACTCCTCTACTTTACCAAGCATATTTAAGGTGGTGGTCGTGTGCCATAGAGTTGGTTCCGAAGATGCATTTGTAGTAACTATGGAATGGTTTTATATGTTGGCTGTTGAATTGTTTAAATGAAATACCTTGTCCAAGAGGAAAAAGAGCCCTGGTGTGGTGCTAAAGGATAAGTACTAGAATGCTGACTTCAAGGTTGTGGTTCAAACCCACTGGCCACTCCTCAAAACTCTGCACAGAGTCATTATGAGTTGGAACTGAAGTGACAGCACTTAACAAAACAAGAGGAAAAAGAAAAATTATTCTTGGATCAGTTACTTTACAGTGACTAATTTTAGAGATGTAGCTCTTAATGTGAAGTTTTCTTGGACTTTGTCCTGAAATTTTTCTTATTTTCCTTTGTTGTTTTAACTATCAGCTTGATGAATGTGTTTATAATTTAGTATGAGTTAAGTATAGTGGGGTATGATACTGCTGATGTTGTTAGTTGCTGTCAAGTCTATTCTGATTGATGGAGACCTTATGTGTTACAGAGGAGTATGGCTCCACAGGGTGTTCTTGGCTGCAAAGTCGGTTTGACCCACGTGGTTGGCAGTTCAAGCTCACCAGCCACTTCTCGGAAATCCTATACAGGGTTGTTATGGGTCAGAACTGACTTGAAGGCACTTAACAACAGCAACAACAATCTTAAAAGGAGTCCTGATATGGTGCTGTAGGATAAGTACTGGGCTATAAGGTCAGTTTGAACCACGAGGTTGGTGGTTCAGGCTTACCAGCTAGTTCTTGGAAACCCTATATACAGGGTCAATGTGAGTCAGAACTGACTCCACGGTGCTTAACCACAACAACCTAATTCCAATAATAAGGGTCTGTTATTTCAAATGAATAGACTCTGGATGACTAACCAAATAGATGGTGGTTCAAAACCACCCAGAGGCATCTTGGAAGTAAATCCTGGCAATCTACCTCTGAAAAATTACAGCTTTGAAAAACGCTATTGAGTAGTTGTTCTTGCTCACGTGGAATCACCATGAGTTGGAATTGAGTCAACGGAAATTGACAACAAATTTCTTTAGTAGTCTCTCTGGTTTTTATAGCTGTTGATCATAGGTTTGAAATGCGGTATTTTTCCTTTGGAAGGAGCTGATTGATGATTTATTTAAGAAGTGTATGCATGAGTTATATTTATACCATTTGTAAATATAATATTTGACACTATAAAACAATGCTGAAAATAGAAAATTTGACAGCAGTTTTTGTAATTGATACCTATAAACTTGAAACATAAGCTAAATATGTTGCCAGACCGACAGTTATTACATTGGCATATTCAATAGTATAACTAGACAATTTCACAGTTTTGTTACTAGAAAAAATTGTGATTGCCTTTGTACACACTGAAGTATGTTGAAAAGGTCTTAAAAATAATCATAACATTTCCTTCTAAAGCCTTTTTTTGTACATCGGCAAGTAAAGTATATAGCTTTTAAATAAGCTGCTTGAAACTTATATTTTTCTGATCAAAATTTCTGAGTTATGTTAAAAATTGATCAGGCCAGTATTAAATCAATGCTATACAGTAGTTTCATTCAGAAAATAGCGTAGAGATTTCTTTTGTTTGAAGGAAAACACATCAAAGACTCTTTAGAAAGAGGCTTAAAGATGATGTCCTAATTAAATAACTGTAAATTTCAATTTTTATATTTTAAATTAGTTGATAGTTGTGTTGTTAGTAGTGTTTAACTGGATTTTTGGTATATCGCTGCAGGATAAGCATTGGACTGATAACGCAAGGTGATTCAAACCCACCAGCTACTCCTTGGACACCCTATAAGTGGTTGCCACTTAACATGAGCAGTGTTTAACTTACTGAAAAATAAATCTTCTCAATTTACTTATTCTCTTAACCCTTCATAATATAGAGTAGAAGTAACAATTTAATTTATTAACCATTATTATAAGGGATTTTTTCTTTACGTCTAAATGGAGCTCCAGGAAACTTCTTAGATTTAAATATAACCGTAAAATATAACAACAGTTTACTCATGGTTTTTTCAAATTTTAGGGAAAACTTCCATTCAACGAACAACGAATAATTTCACTCTCTCGAAATGATTTTCAATCATTGTTGAAAATGCACAAACTGACTCCAGAACAACTGGATTGCATCCATGATATTCGAAGAAGAAGTAAAAACCGAATTGCTGCACAGCGTTGCCGCAAGAGAAAACTTGACTGTATACAGAATCTTGAATCAGAAATTGAGAAGCTGGTAACTATAGCAAGTTTCTTTTTAAATTCTGCTAGGTCCATGTGCTCATTTATTCGTTCTTTCATTTGTTCCTTCTTCCCTGACTCTCCATTCCTTCCTTTCATTCCACCTTCCCTTTCCAACCTTCCCTCTGTCTCTTCCTTTTTATCTGTAGAGGAAATAATTACAAGGGTAAGTCAAAACATACTGCTACTAGAGTTGCAGTTCATATGTACATTCACAGGTTTATCCTAAGCAAAACATGTTTAATTAAATATGACTGTGTTATCAGTGGATGTCTACAGACCAGTTCTTTAAGTACTACACTTAAAGAATGCAGTTTCATTTGGGTATGTTTTTAAAAAAGGTTCAATTAGAACAGTGATTTCCGAGGGGATCTGCTGGGAATCCAGTTAAATTCAGTGCAGAGAAGTCATCTCAGAAGGTTATGATGACTAATTTGATGATACCAAAGGGATAGTATTGGTAGGTTTTCTCTAAGGACACAGGGGCTATACAAAAGGATGAAGAATTATAACTATATAAAAATGTGGAGAAATCAAAATCAGCTCAATGGCAATGGGGTGTTTTATTGTAGTATTTAGGAAACTTGGTGGTGCAGTGGTTAAGTACTCAGCTGCTAACTGGAAGGTCAGTTGTTTGAACCTACCAGCCTCTCTGGCAGTGGGCTTGGTTTGGTTTATTATACTATTTGAGCTTAGTTCTGCTTTTTTTTTATAGTTCTTCTGCCTCTCCCTTTATTGTTGTTTTTAAATGCTTTCAAGTCGATTCTGACCCATAGTGACCCTGTATAGGGTTTCCAAGGAGCAGCTAGTGAGCTTGAACCACCAACCTTCCAGTTAAAATGATTTTTCAGTCTGATGCATTAGCCCACAGTGCCACACCAGGACTCCTTTACCTAGCTGTAATTTATCAACAGCTGTTAGTGGAATTTATCCAGTTTTCCGAATCTCCAAAAAGTATATAAAAAGTATAAAAACCCAGGAAAACCGTTACCCTGATGAAGTTTGTTTCACCAGTTACTTTTACAGAAGAATATGTTTAAGGTGGGAACGGTTACCATTTAGAACTACTTTTTTTTCTGTTTCAGAGGTCTTATTTATGATTTTTGGTTAAAGCCAGATATTGGATTACTGGATAATTAATGGTTGTGCTAAATTTCAAATATCAAGGATGAAGAGAGGCCTTGGCTACTTTCTTTTTTTTCTATTTTTCCTGCAAGTTTTTATTGTGGATTGAGTGAAAGTTTACGGGGCAGATCATCAGTTTTACATTCAACAAATCATACATATTGTTTCATCACAATGATTATAATCCCCTCCATGTACCATCAGTTAACAGTGTTTCTCTCTATTCATTTTAGCTCATTTAAAAAAACAAACACTCAGGCTTATATAATAATTTACACACCAAAAGGCACATTCTGCAAGTCTGCCTCCTGGCCATTGTATCTTAGTCCCTGTCTTCTCATGAATCTAGAGTTCTCAGCTGCTGCCTCTCTCCATGTCCCCATCTGTGCCTCCATCTCTGGTGTCGCTGCTTCTCTGGATACTGTTAAGCATTCTGCTTGTGCTCATCTCCCTTGATGGTCGCAGGGTCCTTTGTTTCTGTACTGTAAGATTAACTGCTTCCCCATTATTGTTACAATACTTATACCTTTACAATTGTTGGCAGTCTCAATTAGTCATGATAACAGTTACTCACTATTGAATCATATCATGAGAATGTTAGCCCCATCTCTTTTTACTAGACCGACCCATGTAGACAAGATGAAAACTATTCAGTGGGGACTCTTTCTTCCCACACATACTGTTAAACTAAACTCCCTCTTGAAACCTTGTAAGCCAGTCACTTCATGCCTTTGTTGTTGTTATTGTTGTCAGGTGCCATTGAGTCGGAACCGACTCATATAGCGACCCCATGCACAACAGAACGAAACAATGTCCGATCCTGGGCCA